GCTTTCCTGCCGCTGGGCGGTGGCCGCAGCTGTTTGGGGAAGTGACGCCCATCCGGCTTTTTATAAATATTCCCCCACCTTTGACCCTTGGCCAGCCGGCTGCGTTCCTAGGATCCTGGACGGGGGGGGGCAGCCAAGATTGGGGGGAGGTCTGCGGTGGGGGGGTGTCTCCCCCATGTCAGTGTGCCCAGGGTCCACAGACAGGGAGGGTGAGGAGGGGGCTTCGTGGGCAGGGAAGCAGTTTTGCTTCCTGGTCCAGGCTGCTCCGATGAAGTGGGGAGGGGGGAGATCCCGGCATGCAGTACTCCCCCCCACACACTTTCTTTTGGACACCCCCCGCCCAGATGCCACTCATCTTCTGATTGACGGCTGGGTGGGCGGAGCCGAGCCTTGCCACTCTCTCTCCCCCCCCCCCCGGGCAGGTGTCAAACGAAAGCCAAGCAAGGAGGCCAGCAGAAATCGAACCCGGTACGCACGCAAAAATCACACACTACTGCACCAATCGAATGCAGCACACCCACACAACACCCACACCCACACAACCTGCCTGGTTTCAAAAGTCAGGCTTTGGAACGGGCTCATTTGCATCGCCCTGAACAGGGAGGCGTTTTTTAATTACCGGGGAGGGGGGGGGGAATGCCCCACAAGCAGATTTGTTTTCCTAGCCTTTGTGGTTTTGTTCTGCAATCACACTTACTCAGGGAATTGTCCTTGAGGGCGGGGGGGCAAGAACCCTGAAAGTGGGCCGAGCCCGGAAGGGGAGGGCAAGGGTTGTGTGAACGTAGCCGCGTCCCTTGCAGGTTGACCTGGAAGCCGAAGAGGAATGAATTGCATAAAGCAAAATATTTGGGATCTGCTTTTATAATGTAGTCCTCTGCTTACGACCGCAAGGAAACCCAAAATTTACATTGCTAAGCAAGACAGTTGCTAAGTGAGTTTTGCCCCAGTTTACGGCCTTTCTTCGCTAAGCGAATTTTTGCCGTTAAGGTTTTAAACTGAACCCGGATTCCCCCTCTTGATTTTCCTGGCCAGAAGGTCGCAGAAGGGGATCACGCGACCCCCTCTGGGACACTGTGACCATCATAAGTGCGAGTCAGTTTCTGAACGTCTGGTTTTTGATCCTGTGACCTGCTGCAACGGCCGTAAGTGTGAAAAACGGTCGTAAGGCACTTTTTTCAGTGCTGTCGTAGGTTTGAACAGTCACTAAATGAACTGTTGTAAGTGGAGGACTTCTTGATTAAATGAGGTGACGCTTTTAAGAGACGTATTGCATTAGAATTAAACTTTGCTTGGCTAATTGATTTAAAGTTTTTAAAAGTTTTGCTGCTTTCCTAAATCTGCCTTTTTTTAGAATAGAATTTAGAATAGAATAGAATAGAATAGAATAGAATAGAATAATAAAATATAGAATAGAATAATAGAATAGAATAGAATAGAGTAGAACAGAATAGAAATTAGAATAGAATAGAGTAGAATAAAAATTAGAATAGAATAGAAATTAGTATAGAATAGAATAGAATAGAATAATAGAATAGAATAATAAAATATAGAATAGAATAATAGAATAGAATAATAAAATATAGAATAGAATAATAGAATAGAATAGAGTAGAACAGAATAGAAATTAGAATAGAATAGAGTAGAATAAAAATTAGAATAGAATAGAAATTAGTATAGAATAGAATAGAGTAGAATAAAAATTAGAATAGAATAGAATAGAATAACAGAGCTGGAAGGGACCTTGGAGATCATCTAGTCCAACCCCCTGCCTAAGCAGGAAACCCTATACCATTTAAGACAAATGGCTGTTCAGTCTCTTCTTAAACATTTCCAGTGTTGGAGCATTCACAACTTCTGGAGGCAAGGAGTTCCACCGGTTGATTGTTTCTCACTGTCAGGAAACGCTCCAGTGGTTGTGTCCTCCGTTCTGGGCACCTGGGTAGGGCAGGAAGGGGCACCGGTGAGGACAGTCGGGACAGGGACTCAACCCCCCTTTCTCTTCCTTTCAGAAAACCTCATGAACACGAAATTCGAGACCGCCGACCTCCGATGGACCACTTACCCTGCTGACAATGGCCAGGTGAGGGGGCGAAGGGTCTTCAGCCTCCCCTTTGGGGCTGTGGGCTGGGAACGATGGGGCTTGCAGTCCACGCCACCTGGGGGGACGGTTGCGGGGGGAAAAAATGGGCGTGCGGGCAAGAATCAATCGCCGAGGGAGGGTCGATTTGCGCAATAACCCAGGTGCACCGGGCAACACTCGCCTCTCCGGTTTTCACGAGATTGCCAAATTTGGCAACACCATTTTGGGAACCACATTGTCAGAAAAACATGCCAGCCGTTGTGCAAGAGATCGCCACCAGATTAAATGATGTTTTTTTAAATAAAAGATCAGCAGGTGTGTGTGTGTGTGTGTCGAGGGCCCCCAGGCATCGTTTAAAAGACACGGCGGATATTCACCACCCAGTTTTAGGGACTTAAACAGCCGTACCCAGCATCTCCCAGCTGCCTTTATTAAGGATAAATGTCAGCTCGGATCCGGACGGCTGGTTTTGAAAGTGGAGACAAAGCCGGGGTTGATCCGTCAGGGAAGGAGAAAAGGCGACGGAGGAGCTGATTCTCACCCTGGCAGGGAAGGAAACCGAGCGTAGACCGAAGCCGTCCCACTTTCCTACGCGATTAAAGACTTAGAAAGGAAGAAAGAAAGATAAAAATAAATGTATAGCTTTTATAGTTTAAAGTTCGGAGTCACCCGAACTGTGGGAGGGGTGGCAAATAAATTGATTAACAAATAAATAAATAATCAATAAAGAGGTGCGGAAGTCACCCAAGCTTGATAAAGTAGTCTTGCAGACGTTTCATGACCTAACTAGGTAGCATCATCAGTACTAAAAGGGAGGGGGGGTTGCAGAGTGGAGGAGGAGGAAGACGAGGAGGAAGAGCGGGGACTTTGCCCCTGCCTTCCCTTGGTGGACAGGGATGAAGGAAAGCCCAAGGAAGAGTTCAGACAGTTCGTGGACCACTGAAACTCTGGCGACCACATCCTGGCCACCAAATGCTGGGGGCAGATTTCGGAAGCATCTCGGCGTGGTTGACTTTGGGGACCCCGCAAAGCTGCCCCCCCAGAATGCCCCATTGAGCTCCCCCTCCTAGTCCAGTCCTACTTGGGAGGGAAGCTTTGCCCCTTTGATCGTGCAACTCGTTCACCGATATTACAAGAGGGCGCTCCCGAACCCTGTGTGCCACCATTAACCTGCCCGGCGTTTCTCCTCGCAGTGGGAAGAGCTAAGCGGGATGGACGAGGAGCAGAACAGCGTCCGGACCTTCGAGGTGTGTGGGGTCCACCAACCCAACCAGAACAACTGGCTGCGCACCATCTTCGTCCCCCGATCGGGCGCCACGTACGTCTACGCCGAGCTGCGTTTTACCGTGGTGGAGTGCTTCTCCATCCCGCGGGTCACCCGGGCGTGCAAGGAGACGTTCAACGTTTTTTTCTACGAAGCCGACGCTGACCTGGCCTCAGCCACTTTCCCGCCCTGGATGGAGAACCCCTATGTCAAAGTGGACACGGTGGCGGCCGAGCACCTCACCCGCAAGCGGCCGGGCATGGAGGCCTCCGGGAAGGTGAACGTGAAGACGCTGCGGGTGGGACCCCTCTCCAAGATGGGCTTCTACTTGGCGTTCCAGGACCAGGGCGCCTGCATGGCCTTACTCTCCGTCCGACTCTTCTACAAGAAATGTCCGGCCGTCACCGTCAACTTCACACTCTTCCAGGAGACGGTGCCCAGGGAGCTGGTCATGCCGGTCACCGGGCAGTGTGTGCCCAACGCCGTCAAGACCAGCTCCCGCCCGCTCAGCATGTACTGCCGGGAGGACGGGCAGTGGGCTGACCAGGCCATCACGGACTGCACCTGTGCGGCCGGCTACGAGCCCTCGGAGGAGAGCACCAGGTGCCGAGGTGAGGAATCTGGTCTTGGTGGGGAGGGCAGAAGGGTTGGGGGGGGGACTTGTCTTGGTGCTGGTGCAGGACATCGGAGGCCTCAGAGCCGTTACGGGAAGTCCTCCGCTTACGATCACAACGGAACCCCAAATTTCTATCGCTGAACGAGGCAATTTTGCCCCATTTTATGACCGTTCCGGGCACAGTTGTTAAGTCCATCTCCGCAGTTGTTAATGTTGTTAAAGGGATCCGGATTCCCTGTTGACTTTGCTTGCCAGAAGGTCGCAAAAGGGGATCACTGGACCCCCTGGGACACACCGCGACGGTCACGAATATGAGTTGAGTTGGCTGCCAAACGGCCGAATTTGGATCACGTGACCGTGGGGACGCTGCCGCGGTTATAAGTCTGAAATACAGCCGTCGGTCGCTTTTTTTTCAGTGCCCTGATCACTTTGGCCACTAAATGAATTTTCGTAAGTCGAGGACTGTCTGTACTCTGGAGGAGACCAGGCCATTGTTGTTCTTTCTGGAAGCCCAGAAGCAAGGGGATGAAGGGGGAGGTCCCTTCTCTGCTTCTGTTTCCTTGGGCTGGGGTCGACAGGTAGACTGCCTCTGAGAGTGCAGGCTCCACAAAACTACACCGATGACCCAAAAAATCAGGAAGGAGAAGAAAAAAAAAGTTCCTGCCCTCCCGGGGGCTTCTAGGCCTCAGCCTTTGACTCTTCCCTGGCCTGTTGGCGTGTGTGTGGGGGGGTCCTCTGGAGATATTCCTGCCCCCCCTGCTCATTTACTTGTCTCCCTAGGCCCCTTTTTTGGACCCGCAACGGCGCTTTCCCTTTTCTGCTCATCTGCTGTTGGCCCATGGAGGGGGGGGAGAGAGCATTCCTGCCCCCCCCTGGGAGAAGGGAAAGTGGGCTAGGAGGCAGGGCAGGGCAGGACCCACCCGTGGACTGATTGCCCGGCAATCCAGGAGATAAACCCAGATAATCCAGGTCCTGCGGGGGGGGGGAGATTCTCCAATTGGGGGGGGCAGGGGGGGGGCAGGAGAGGAAAGCAAAAGAGAAGGGGAGGGGTGAGACCCTTCCCCAAATAACCTGATCCCCCAAGTCCCCCTTTGTAGACCACGGTGGGCTGATGGGAGCCATCTGCCCCCCAGCCCACCCCCCCAACTCTGCAGCTGTTCTCTGTCTCTCTCCAGCGTCCTCGCCTCTGTTGGAGGGGGGGGACAGGCCGGGGGTCTTGGATTCCCACCCACAGGCAGGCCGGTGGGCTGGAAGCCCCAGGAATGCCAACTATCCGGAGGTCAAGGGTAATAAGCCAGCCAGCGGGGTGTGGGGGAGAGGGGAGGAGAGGAGAGCCGGGAGCAGGTTGCTGCTGGCAGAAGCCCACGGAGACCCCCCCCCTCAGCTTGAGGGAGGGGAGGGGAACTGCTTTGTTTGCCCTCCGTTGGCTGCTCTCTTGAGGCTGGGGTGGGCATCGCCTCCCCCCCCAGGCACCCCCTTCTCTGCCAGGCCTTGGAGAGGGAGGGGGAGCACCAGTCTTAGGCCATTCATAAAGAGGGGAGGGGTCCAACTCTAACAGAAGGTGCCATTCTCAAACAGCCCGGCTCTGGGGTTGAGTCCTTTTAGAAAGCTTTGTTTGTGTGTGTGGGGGGGGTGATGGGGGTCTTGATGGGCTGGCAGCCCCCGTTGGGAGGGGCTTAGCTAGAGCAGGGGGCGTGTTTTGGGCAGGGTTCAAAGGGCAACCTAATGGGATGCAACCAGGAACTTTTTCAGGGTAGGGTCTCCTGTTTGAGCAGGGGGCTGGACTAGAAGACTTCCGAGGTCCCTTCCGAGTCTGTTATTCTGCTATTTTGTTTTCCTTCCTTCCTTCCTTCCTTCTTTCCTTCCTTCCTTCCTTTCCTTCCTTCCTTCCTTCCTTCCTTCCTTCCTTCCTTCCTTCCTTCCTTCTTTCCTTCCTTCTTTCTTTTCTTCCTTCCTTCTTTCCTTCCTTTCCTTTTTTCCTTTTTTCTTTCTTTCTTTCTTTCTTTTCTTCCTTCCTTCCTTCCTTCCTGATTGGACCGCCCTTTGTCTGAAATAGTATAAGGTCTCCTGCTTGAGCAGGGGCTGGACTAGAAGACCTCCAAGGTCCCTTCTGACTCTGTTCTGCTATTTTGTCTTCCTTCCTTCCTTTCCTTTCCTTTCCTTTCCTTTCCTTTCCTTTCCTTATTGGACAGCCACTTGTCTGAAATGGTATAAGGTCTCCTACTTGAGCAGGGGGTTGGACTAGATGACCTCCAAGGTCCCTTCCGAGTCTGTTATTCTGTCCTCAACTCACAACTGTTGTTTTAGTGACCGTTTGAAGTTATAACGTTAGTGAAAAAAGCGACTTAGGACCCTTTGTCACACTTAACGACCGTCGCAGCGTTCCCCCCTTCCCGCGGTCACGTGATCAAAATTCGGACACTCGGCAACTGATTCGTATTTACGACGGTCGCAGCATCCCATGGGGGGGGGTCATGCGATCCCCTTTCGCGACCTTCTGACAGGCAAAGTCAATGGAGGGGAGCCGGATTCAGTTAGTGATCATGTTCCTCACCTAACAACTGGCGAGGAAGATCATCCAATGGGGGCAAAACTCACCTAACAGTTGTCTCGCTTAGTGACGGAAATATTCGGCCAATTTTGGGTGATAAATTCTGATATTCTGTCTTGGGAGCTTTGAGATGGATGGATTCTGCAGTGGTTTCGCTCCCTTTTTAACCCTAAATTCCTGCAAATAATAATAGTAATAATAATAATAATAATAATAATAATAATAATAATAATAATAATAATAATAATAATAATAAGCAGCGGCATGACAAAGTAACAACAATGGTGCATTGGAAGATCTGCAAGAAATATCATTTGCCTGTAAGCAAGAACTGGTGGGATCATAAAATAGAGAAAGCCATAGAAAATGATAAAATTAAACTGCTCTGGGACTTCAGAATTCAAACAGACAAGCACCTGCCACATAACACCCCAGACTTAACAATTGTCGATAAGAAAGACAAAAAAAGTCTAGATAGTGGACGTGGCAGTGCCTGGAGACAGCAGAATAGACGAGAAAGAACTGGAGAAGATCATAAAATACAAAGACCTACAAATAGAAATAGAAAGACTGTGGCAAAGGCAAGCAAGGGTGGCACCAATAGTCATAGGCGCCTTGGGTGCAATCCCAAAACAACTGGAGCACCCCTTGAAGACCATCATCGGCATTGACAAATTCGCCATCAGTCAATTGCAAAAGGCGGCCTTCCTAGGAACTGCTTCCATCCTGCGACGAGATCTGTAATACCATCAAACATCCCCATCTGCCTATCCCAGGTCCTTGGGAAGAACTCGATAGGTAGACAAAAATGCCAAATCCAGTCTGAACATCTGGCTGACTGTGTGATGATCCACAATAGTAATAATAATAATAATAATAATAATAATAATAATAATAATAATAATAATAATAAAGACTGTGGGAAAAGCAAGCAAGGGTGGCACCAATAGTAATAGGCGCCTTGGGTGCAATCCCAAAACAGCTGGAGCACCACTTGGACACCATCATCGGCATTGACAAATTCTCCATCAGTCAATTGCAAAAGGCGGCCTTACTAGGAACCGCTTCCATCCTGCGACGAGATCCGTAATACCATCCAACATCCACATCTGCCTATCCCAGGTGCTTGGGAAGAACTCGATAGGTAGACAAAAATGCCAAATCCAGTCTGAACATCTGGCTGACTGTGCAATGATTAATAATAATAATAATAATAATAATAATAATAATAATAATAATAATAATAATAATAATAATAATAATGTCCTTGGGAAGGACTCGATAGGCAGACAAAAATGCCAGATCCAGTCTGAACATCTGGCTGACTGTGCGATGATCCATAATAATAATAATAGTAGTATAGTAGTAGTAGTAGTAGTAATAGTAGTAGTAGTAGTAGTAGTAATAGTTGGAAGGGACCTTGGAGGTCATCTCAGAAAAAAGAACCGAAGAAAAAAAGGAAGCCCACATGTTGCCCCCCCCATTTATTCTGGGGCTGTGGGAAGAGCCTCGGGGTGCAGGGAGCCCCCCAAAAGAGACACAATCATAGGGGAGATAGGCGACAGGGCAATTGACCATCTCTTCCGCCCTCCTCTCTCTGCAGCCTGCCCGGCGGGGCTGTTCAAGGCCGTCCAAGGGGAGGGGGGCTGCCAGCCCTGCCCCGCCTTCAGCATGTCCCTCTCCCCGGGCTCCGGCGAGTGCTCCTGCCGCATCGGCTTCTATCGGACGGCCAAGGAGCCGGTCACCAAGCAGTGCTCCAGTGAGTGGCCCAAGCGCGGGACGGCCAGGACTGGCGGGAGACGGGAGGGTGGGGAGAGCGAGGCCTGGGAGGAGGAGCCTTTTGGGGGG